CTTAAAGTTCTTCTATGTTAATATTTTTCTCTATTTACATGCATAGGTACATTAGTGTTCTCCACTGTTACCATCAAGGGATGACTTCATCATAGTCAATCATGCACATACCAACATCCAATAAAAATATCACTTTCTAAAAAAATATTCATTTATCATTTGCATAAGAGTCAAATCATTCAATAAGGATGTGCACACATATCATTGATTCATTATGAACAAAAATCTAATAGAATTCAAAATCATTAGTTTGCAGCCATTTACCATATAATTAATGAAAGTACTAATTAATGCATTCGGCCTAGAAGAAGCAAAACACTGCCATAATAGAAAAACATGAGTACTCATTTTGTTGATGGACGATTTGCTTGCTTTTAACTTGTATTATTTAGATCAAATTATCATCTATAAAATATAAAATATAAAATATTCAATTATCACTATACTTAATGTTTTAATTTAATTGTCAATTACACTATTTTAAGATTTCAATACTTAAACTTTTAATTTTAATTATTATAATTAATATTAATATACATATTACTAATTTATACAAAATATTTTTAGAATTAAAACCCTAACCTTTTCTTATGGCTAACACCTTTTCATCGATTCAGGATGGGAACTATATCAAATTCTTTTAAGTTTTATTCATTTAAATAATATATATATAATATTTATTTGATCTTTAGATTTCAAATTAGGATGAAACTTATGACATTTATTAAGGTTATGCCCAAACATCTTACAATGAGAGCAATAAGGAGGTTTATGCTCTATGACGATTTGTTGCCAATATCCATTATGCGTTGTGCCCAACCAGACTTCGGTAACATCAAACAAAGTAATATTTTTTCCACAAGTATTCTGGCCACAGAAGGTCTGGTAAGGTTGAAATTAGGTAGATTTAGTTTCATAGGGTCCCTAAGTATGACACCAATAGAATAAAGAACCTGATGATGAAAAAAGTGCAGCTTGAGACCAGGTAGACTAAACCATACCGGTACAGTAGGAGGTTCATGATTGAAGTCAAAACCAAAAGACCACTTGAGTAGCTTCATAGCAATGTTAATATATTTTTTGGTGAAAATTTGAGTGTAATTTTCAAACACAGTTAACTGAATCAAAACATGTCTCCCATCCATGAGCCCCTTTTTCCACTTTTCTGTCTTTCCACTTTCTTATTAGTTTGAGGTCATCAAAACTTTTTCTGATAACTTCTATAGGTGGGTGTCCCCACTGAAATTTCCCAATAAAAACATACTTGAATTTGTCAGTCATTCAGAAAAAAAAGTGATGCTTTCCCACTTTTCCTGCTTGCAATCTTGATAGAGGCACCTTTACCGTCATGATTCTTCTTATAACTTGAGAAGAAGACAACCGTCGTCTCCCCCTGAGGATTACCCACCACGTGGGCAAAGGAGGTTCTGTCATGTTCAACCGAAGAAGAAGGAAGCTCCATCACAATAAGAGAAGCCCTGCAAGTTGGGCAGAGGGCAAAAAAGACAAGCCGAAGAGGTCGGGGCGAAGCTGCTCAGAAGGCCAAGTGCGCAGAAATGAAGTAGCGGCTTGATAGACAAATCGCAGCTGAGACAACACCGCAGCTGGAAGACAAAACCGCAACAATCCTATTAACCGTAGCTCGACAGACACGAAACTGCAGCAGGAAGACACCAAGGCCCTTCATCATTGGACACAAAAAGAGAAGAAGACGATTGTGAAGGAGATTGACGAGCACGAAGTCCTTTATAGTCATCGTCGAATACGAGAACTTTGTCATCGAGCACGAGAGGGTGGATTGAAGGCCGAATCAAACTAGGGTTTTACCATTGGGCGAAACCCTAGCCGAGCTGAGTAGAGCGCCGCCGCCGACGCCATTCTCGCCACCTGGCGAGAAAACTACAACAGGACAATATTTGGTGTCTGATTCTATTGCCCCTTGTGGATCCTCCCCCTGTAAATACTGTTTCTGCGATCGATGAGAAGATGGATGGCTCTGCTGAGCAATCTACACTTTTAAACCCTATTGAAAAAAATAATGGACTCTTACCTACACTGATTGATAATCAAGAGAACCTTGTAGCTCCCCATCTTCAGGAAGTATTAGAGGTAGAGGCGACAACTCTTACCTCACATACACTTGTGGGCACAATTGTTGGCAATCTTTCTACTGCAACACTATCACTTCATCCGAATGAACAAAATGAGGAATGACAAGTTTACACTTCTAGGAGGAAGAAGAAGAATGGAGATCTACTTGAGCTAAGGAACCTAATAGATGATACTCTAGTTACTTTGGGCAATGGTACACACCTCACCAATCTGTTAGCTAGTTTCTTTCTGAGAACTAGAGGCAGAGACAAAACTAAAGTGGGTCAACCTGGTTGATCTTATATGTACCATCTATTTTTGGGTTTTAAGTTTCTCTTATTTTCTTTTTATGTGTGTTGTACCGTATGGATTGGGTGCCTATTTGGGTCCACTCATACAACCTGTTCAATAAATTTGCGTTGGGCTTTTTATAATATATATATATATATATATATAAATTTTTATAACTTAGATAAACTTATTGTTTAAAAACTTCTCACGCGCGCAATTTCTCCATACCTCCTCCCTCGGCTTGGATCAACACTACGTGAGATCTTCTCCCCCCTGCTTCCTCTTCCTCTGCACAACACTGACGCCGAAGATTTTATCGCCATACGCCGACGCCGCCCCTTATCTCCTTTGCATTGCTCCTTCCTCTCTTCTTCATCATCGATACATTAGGGCACGGGTTCCTTTGCCGCTCCCTCCTGCCTTGCTTCTCTTTGCACCAGATCACTCGAAGCTCGACAGAACTCCTTCGTCTTCTTCTTTGACTCGACTCGACACTGACGCTACGCTAGATGTCTTTCGTGCTGCTCGACTCTTTTTATAGGCGAACTCATCGCATAGGCTTCTGATTCCCTCACTTTCTCTTCTTCAGTTGTTCGTTTCCTCATCCTTCACTGATTCATCGTTTCCTCTTCCATCTCTGTTCTCCATTTCGATTCTTCTCCCGGTAGCAGAAACAAAACATTACAGTTGATCCCAAAAAGATATTCAAAAACTTATGTAGTTGACTATGAAGAGACTTTTCCCCTGTTGCCAAACTAAAGTTATTATTCTGGTCCTATTATCACTAGTCGCGAATCTGGATTGGTCCTTACGTCATATTAAGAATGCTTTCTTTGATGACAATCTTATTGAGGAGGCTTATATGTCCCTCTCACCGAGACTTGACTCGATTTCTACCTGTGGATATGTGTGCCAATTGCGAAAGTTCCTCCATGGACTGAAATAATTCCCATAGGCTTGGTTCGACAAGTTTACGCAAGCGTTAGTGGTTCTCACAGGCCCAATCTGATTATAAACTATTTTTTCGCCATTCATCCAGTGGTCGTATTTTCATCTTTATCGTCCACGTCGATGACATTGTGCTCACAGGTAACGATCTGCCGGACATGGAGTCTCTGAAAGGCATTCTCATCACATCTTTTGAGATGGAAAACTTGGGTTCCCTCTAATATTTTTTAGGCATGGAAGCAACTGGTCTTCTCGTGGCATTTGTATTTTTCAATGCAAATATATGATGAATTTATTGACCTTTGTAAATCGGTTGTCCCGATGGACCCAAATGAGAAATTATTTAATGTTCCCTATGCCATTCCAGTAAACAAGTACACTACCTTCACCTTGTGGATAAACTCATACCTCGCCCATACACGCCTGAACATTTGTTACGCGGTAGGTATCATCAATCAATTTATGATTGTTACGCGGTAAGTATCATCATCTTACCACCGTCAATTGGATCCTCCACTGCTGGGTCGCCACCAGTCTACCCCCCACCCCCCCCCCCCCCCCCCCCCCTACAAGCACCATCTTACCACTGTCAATTGGATCCTCCACTAAAGACACACTGGGCTTAGGTTTGTTGTTCATCTTCACCACAACTCTAATTCTTTTGCGGTTTATATGGATGCTGATTGGGCTGAATCTGTCTATGATAGACAATCTATCTCGAGTTATTACTACTTCGTATTGGGGGACCTTATCAAAAAAGCAATTCGTGCTTGCCCGTAGTTGTGCCGAAGTCGAGTTTCACTTTTTGGGGGTGTGTGAAGTCCTCTGGTTGCACATCATGCTTTACGAGTTACATATGCCGATCACTGCACCTACGCAGTCACTGCACCTATGCAGTTGTTTTGTGACAATAAAGCCATGATTAACATTGCTCATAATCCGGTCTAACATGATCGTATCAAGTATGTGGAGATTTACCGACAATTTATCAAGGAGAAGCTCTATTCGAGGGAGATTTGTGTTTCATTTGTCTTATTTGTTGGCTAATTGACCGATATTCTCATAAAGAATCTTTTTCGCATGTTGTTTGACGACTTCAAATCTAAGTTGGACATGATTGACATCTATGGTTTAGCTTAAGGGAGAGTTTTAATAGTTATGAGGATTGAATTTATTTCCTTTTCTATTTTATGTCGTTTTCTTTTTATCTCTGAGTAATTATAAGGAATTGATTGATTGTAATCTAGGTGCTATGTTTTTGCTTTCTTGTTATTTCCTTTTTCATGTCTTTCCTATTTGAGGACTCACGTAAGATGTATTTATATCACTTTTTCATATCAATAAAATATTCTGCTGAATTCTACATAAACACTAAAGAGTGTTTTTTTGGAGCTGCAAAAAATTTTTTGCTTGATCTGAAGTTATTGATTATCTTTTTGATAATTTGTTGGTCTTTTATATCGACCTAAAAGTTTATGTAATTCCATTGCAGATATAATGTAGCAATCAAATGTGCAACAATTACTCCAGGTAAGGTTAAATTGGGAATTACATATAACCTTGGCTGATTTTTTCAAAATAAGTGGTAGTACTGTGATAATAGTTTATTTATTTTAGATTATATTTAATGTTACTTTTTCTTCCTGTATTCTGGGATGATAGATGAAACTCGAGTTAAAGAATTCAACCTCAAGAACATGTGGAAGAGTCCAAATGGAACAATTAGAAACATTTTGAATGGTCAGATAATCTGCCATGGTTGAACCTTAGGGACCACTTAATCATTAATATTATCTTGATGCTGCGTTTGCTTTCATGCAGGTACGGTGTTCAGAGAGCCTATCTTATGCAAGAATGTTCCAAGGCTTATTTCAGGTTTTTTTGAAGGGCATACAATTTTGTAACTGTAAAATTTGATTTATCTCTCCATGATAATTTTTTTTTTCAGGGTGGACAAAACCCATTTGTATTGGAAGACATGCTTTTGGTGATCAGTACAGAGCTACTGATTTGGTTGTAAAAGAGCCAGGGAAGCTTAAAATAGTATTTGGTAGGTCTCTAGCAGTACTTATTGCATATGCTAATTTTTCTATTCTGTTGAAGGATTATTTGTGTTCTGTGGAACTAAGTAAAATGATCACTTTGGTCTTTACTAAATTTAATTGACTATCAGAAATGTGGTAATGTTTGATGTATTTTACTTGCATTTGCAGAAGGAAAAGAGGAACATGTTGATTTAGAGGTTTTCAATTTCACTGGGGCAGGTGGTGTAGCATTGTCCATGTTCAATACTGATGAGGTTCATTACTTGCAGCCTTATGTTACTTCTGTCATAGTGCTTTTCTCAAATTTGTTTTAAAATAGCTTTCAAACCTTCTATGATTTCCTGTAAATAGTCCATCCGTGCCTTCGCTGAATCTTCAATGAATGTTGCTTATCAAAAAAAGTGGCCGTTATATCTTAGCACCAAAAATACAATTCTGAAGAAGTATGATGGAAGGTATGTTGGGCTATTTCAAGATGAAATCTGCGTTTTACTATTATGGAGTCATTATAGTTTTGCTGCTGCTTTCCCTGCTAATTGTTGATTACTTGTTGTATGTGATTCTTTAGATTCAAGGACATATTCGAAGAAATCTACGAATCTAAGTGGAAATCAAAATTTGATGCTTCTGGCATATGGTGAGCTAGTTTTGGGCATCATTGATGATTGAAATAACGGTTAGGATGCCACTACTCACTAATATTTGATTTTTATTATTTGTGACAGGTATGAACACCGTTTAATTGATGATATGGTTGCTTATGTCGTCAAGAGTGAAGGTGGTTATGTGTGGGCTTGCAAGAACTATGATGGTGATGTGCAGAGTGACTTCTTAGCTCAGGGTTTGAATCTATTCCATCTTTTTCTTCATGCCTTTATTTGTTCAATGAGAAAAGCACCAAAATAGTCTACTTGGGGCCATTTATGTGAGTTTATAAAAATATCAATTTAGTCTCTGAATCTTTTAATTGGGGCTAAAGTAGTCCTCATTTTGACTATTTCAGCCATGTGTAAAGAGTTTGGGGACTAAATGTACACTTTTATAAACTCTGGAACTAAAATGTCCCTCTACAAAGAATCAAGTGACTGCTTTAACACTTTCTTTGTGTTCAATATTTGCCAAAATTCAAAGTATTTCACAATAAACAATTAGTTCCCCAAGGAAGCCATTTACCCTAACTATTTCTTGTTTAAACAATTAGTTCCCCAAGGAAGCCATTTACCCTACTTTAACTATTTCTTGTTTTTTTTTAATGGATTCTACAGGGTTTGGTTCCCTAGGTCTAATGACATCAGTCTTGGTAATTATATTTTATCAAGTTCGCTTTTTTAAATCGTGTTATACTATACTAAAATAAGTATGGATGCTTTCTTATTTTAATTTAATTTTGCGGGTTAATTTAGGTTGGAGAATTAGCAGGTGATTTGCATAGAAATGAATTGATGGGTGCTTCTATGAGGGTTTAAACATACTGGATATAATTGTTTGTATAGAAAAATTTTTTTGTTTCATTGTAACTTAGAGATCTTTATTCAACTCTCTTGGTTATTTTTATAATGTATGTCATTTTCTATGTTGAGAAATGCCAACACATTTATAAAATTTTCCCATTTAAAATTTTATTTAATGGCTTATGTTCAGCATAGAGGTTTTACACTTATCTGAAAGGGGTGGATGGGTGAATTGTGCGAATTTAAAATTTTAATAAATTTTCAAAGATAATTTGATATGGTAAAAATTAGTAGTTGTGAATTTTGACTAGCACGATAAAAAATAAATAAGTATAAAAATAGAGATATAGAACACAAGTGATTTTTATGTGGTCGGCCACAATAAATGAAAAAATAAATAAGTATAAAAATAGAGATATAGAACGCAAGTGATTTTTATGTGGTCGGCCACAATAAATGTTCAGTCACTTGTGATTTCCTATAAACCTACATGAAAAATTCATTACTACACTAGGTGGAGATTCCATTTACGTCAACCTTTTCTACGGGATGAACTCCCATGTTTCTTCTTTGAAGCAAGGGAATCTTCTCAACGTGTGAGCCTCCAAAACACTAACCACACCAGAAAAGAAAGTCCGGGAAAAACAAAACAAATAGAAAAGATTGCGGTTCTATAGGCATATTCACTTCTTAAATGTAGACATCCAGTCTTTCTCTCTTCAAAGGCTAGGAGAAAAACACACACCCACACCTCTATTAAATTTTGCGGAGGCTCATTTGAATTAATTTATTGGATCCCAGTTTCTTTGTATCTCTGCAGAGTTGTGCAAAACTTTAAGACAACCTTCTACTTTGAGGATACCCATATATTTATTTTTGTAAAATCTAAAGGGCTTAATTTTGAAAGCTTGATTTATTTTATTTACACTAATGTATTATACGATATTTAAAAGTTTTTTTGGCTATCGCACTAAGTTTTTTTTTTAATATTTGAATGTTCAATTTTGATATTTTAGGTTCGACTATTCCTTGTTTGCTTTATATGAATTTTTTATTTTTTGATTTTGAATTGTTTTCCTGGTCTAATACACTCTGTTTTCACGTGTTTAGTGGTCATGATGATAAACTTGTCTTCCTTGAAAACTAGAAAAAAAAACATTTGTCCGCAATCCTTATTGTATTTGTGATCATCAAAATCAATTGCTCATGTGGCCATCATAGCATTTTATTTTGGGAGGGACAGTAAATATTTGAGAGAAAATGATTTTGTGCATTTAACTCTGTTGCTTGTTAAGGGTTATGCCATTAGATCAAAAACATCCTCGTGGAAATGAAAATCAGCTGAATTAGGCATTCTATAATCAGTTTTATAGTACTAGCCAGAAATGGTGACGGGCTGCAGTCACCACTGCTATGGTGATGAAGGCAATAGCAATGATTATAATTATTTTAAATTATGCATGCTTCTTGGTGAATTTTCTATGGACTTAACATTAAGGAATGATTATATATGCCTAATCAGCCATTTAATTGAATAATTTGCTTTATATATTTGAAATTGTTCTGTCTTGCACAAAAGCTTATACCAGTAAATAGCCACCTCTTACATCTACTTGTTGGGGTTGTGTTCAAGGTCTGCCCTGATGGAAAAACAATTGAAGCCGAGGCAGCACATGGCACTGTAACTCGTCACTATCGTGTTTACAAGAAAGGAGGTGAAACTAGTACAAACAGTATTGCCTCAATTTTCGCTTGGACACGAGGATTAGCTCATAGGTAAACCAATATTTTACATATTTGGCTCTCATCTTGTTTTCTGTTGGATACATAAAAATAATAGCAGAATAGAAAAACATAGCAGAGTTTTTCAGCAAACGAGAAAATTTGATGGGCCATAAATGTTGTTTTTCCACCATATATTTTACTTTTTTTTGTGGATGCCATTTTGATAAATTTTTTGCAGTATATGTGGGATGAGATTTGAAGAGCTATAATTAGGACAGGAAATGACAATGCAATGCAACCTTTCTAAGGAATGACAACACAGTACATCATTTTTAGGACCTTAATTATTCAGCATTCTCCCCGTCAACGTGTTTTTCTTGAACTCCCAAAGCTTCTCCGAGTTCTCCTTTCACAATGCTTTTGTAAAATGTTATTTCTCTAGTCATTTGTACCGTAGAACTCTACTTGAACTTCTTCATTTTCAATTGTATCTTCGTTGAAGTGTAGAAATTATTTTTTTTCTCGAACAAAAATTTAATTTTCCTTATGCATCTAGTTTGTGTTCGCTTGTGCATTGCTTTTAAAAGATGACTTCATTGGTTTGGCGGGATGTCCTATTTTTGTTAACTATTTCGCTGGGATAATGAAGCACCGTCGAAATTGTGTGAAAATTTTTAACAAAAAATGACAGATGTGATGCTAAGTGAAAGGTTGCCAAAAAAAAAAAAAAGAAGAATGAAAAAATATATTGTAAAATGTGAAAGGTGCCTGCCATTATTCGTATGCATTTCAAATGCTTGTATAGACTAGATATAAGAAATTTCATGCGAGAATATCTTGCCATATGAAAATAAGTAGAAAAGGTAATTCTAAAGTTTATGTTTTAGATTGGATTCATTATATAGTTATTTGTTCCCTTTTCTTTGTAAAAGATGTATTGCCTTATTGAGAGGCATTCAAATCACTAAAATTTTTTGTAGACCCTCTATATGATAGGTTTCTATTATAGCTGTTTGCTTTAATTGATCTCATCAGTCTTGTTTCTACTTACCCACTTGGCTGCTAGGTGTCATTTAAGTAAAATAATATTTGAGAAGAATGCTAAGCACTATGTTTTTAGTCAAGTGGAAAGGAAGCATCGCTCAAATGATACTTGGATGATTAATTTAAGGATGAATTGTAATAGGTAGCCCTCTAATCTATTGGATGATCGCATGAGTATTGATTCTTTAAAGGAGAGGTCTTTGCACACAAGCAGGCCATAATTAGTTGTCTGATATAATGCAGGCCATAATTAGGTCAAATTACCCCGCACAAGCTTGTTGATATAATGCAGGCCATAATTAGGTCAAATTACCCCACACAAGCCTGTTTGTCTATAGCCAATTATAATGAGTCAAGTCAGCTCACAACATAACTGAATCATGCCTTATTGCACCCATTTTATTTTTGTCTGAATTTCAATTTTTTTAAATTGATCTTTATTAGATTTAATTATCATGTTTGGATAATATTATAGCTTTAAATTTGAATTATTTTTTAGTCTTAATTTTAATCTCAAATAGGGTTAGGATCCAATTTCTATAATTAGGAATGGACGGCTTATATTCAGATTGAATATTGGTGTATGAAATTAGATTATTTGTGAGGCTAATCAAGTGCTTGTTAGATCAAGTTGTGTATGTGGAGTTCTTCCTCTCCCCTTCTCCATCAACTTGTACCTTTGTCATTGATGGCTTTCCGATTGATTGAATCTCTTTCATAAAGATGACATTGTGGGTAATGAGTTTTTTCTTTTTTGGAATATAAAAATCTATCTCCTTCTGATTTCAAGCAATAGCTAATCAAGATGCCTTTCTCAGTTGTCTCATTAAACGTCTTTTCTCCCTAGGAATTTGAGCATATGAAATTTCACCAAAAACTTATCAAATGCATCAAGGATGGCTTTTTCACAACCGAAACTTCTAATTTTTAAATTATTCAAAGCTTTTGTTAGACTACAATTGATCAAGTGCATGATTATATAGTTTGCTTGCCCAACCAATCTTTGAAATGTTGAGTTAAGACACGACATCGAGGACGATCTACTCCCCATTCTTGAGCAAGATATAGATACAACACTTGCAAAAAGAAGAGAATACAATGCTTCAAAGAGCATAAACTCGAGAAAAAAATCTCAAAACATAAATACCATTGTTCATGCTTTTAAAATAACAAGCATATAATACATATAAAAGGGCCTTAATGTAAAATAACTTAGTTAGAAATAGAGAAATAGGAAAAAAAAAAGAAAGGAAGTTAACAAAAGAAGGGTAAAAAAAAAAAAAGAAAGGAAGTTAACAAAAGAAGGAAGCTTACTAGAAAAAAGCCTTAGCACATTCCTCCCATGATTCCGGGAGTCGAGCATCACATAATCATGATATTGTGGAAATCTGATTTACAAGATGTGGCTGAATTATGAGATTGTAGTTGAATCGCGGGATTCTTGCAATCGGAATTGCATAAGTCATGCGATCAACGGTATGGAAGTCACGTGGTTAGTGTTGCGGGATCTTTTATCCCATGTTTGTAGTAGGATTTGCGTTCTCAAGTGCCACATCATTCTCCTCTAAAAGTTTTGACTCTCTTTGGCAGCATGTTAGGTTAGGTTGAACTGAACTGGAGTTGAGTATCTCGTTTTCTCCATAGGGCCTTCCAAAAATTACTCAATGACTCCCCAACTCTATTTGAAATGATGAGATGCTGAATTGCTCTCAGCGGGGACGACCCTTTTCATGTTGGACTAGATTATACTTTGCTTTTTCCCTCTCGCTGGCTTAAGTGTTTCAAATTTTTCCACCACAGAGATGCACTCTTATTTAAATTAATGGAATATAGAATATTCTTGTATTAAAAGATCCGTTCCATTGCCAAAATCTTACAAGTAAATTTTCACTACAAAATACCGGCTTCTCTGATATGCTATGCCAAATCATTGAGGTAGTGACTTTTTCTCCCTGGAGACTACTTGATGGAAGAGATTCACTTTCTCCACTTGATCTTGTGTTATTATTGTTGATATGAGTGATCTGATAGGATTGCATTCTCTCAAATTTCTCTCAAAGGAGACAAACCTCTATTACAGTTAAAGATTTTTCTGTTGCATGTCCTCCATTGTGAGCCCCCAAACACCTTATTGTGGATTTCTCGGCAGTATGACATCTCATTCTTCTAATGGATTGGAAAAGCAGATATGGTTTAAGGTTAGGTTTAGGGCTAGGGTTAGGTGTATAATGTGGGAAACTTTTTTTTGGTGAGGTGTTAGTTTAGATGGTATGGATTTTTAGTTTAAGTATTTGATTGAAAAATCCTTAAAATTTAGGGTTTGCCGGGTTCTGTACTAGATATTTCCATAGATACTAGATGTTTGACTCCCCAAAAGGTTTTGATTAGAATTGCAGAAGTCATGCGAGCAGTAGTACGGGAGTCACGCGATCTGCATTGTAGGATCTTCAATCCGATGTCTGTAGTGGGGCGCTCTCGTGTCATTCTCATCTGGTAGGAAGAGTTGTCTTCTTCTTATAAAGATTTTGGAATTGATCCATTACTATCATAATAAAGCCATCGCTTTGCTATTTTTGAGACAGTCTAACTACAAAATTTAGACTCGTGCCTATCCCATGCAAATCTAAAACAAATACGTCATTTTTAAGACCATCCTGATAGAATACGTAGCCATCATTTTTTAACACAATCAAAGCTGGGTTGCATCAAGGTAGTATGCATGAATCAATTCTCTAGTCATCAAATGTGCAACAAGTTTTTGCAACTTCTCATACTCGTCTGGTTGCATCTCATAGATGATTTGATTTGGTCGGTAAAATCCTAGTTTGTGGTTTATAGCATGTTGAGTATCTCCTGATGGTAGTTACCCAAGAGATAAACTATCGATCAAGATATCTAATAACCTCTTCAATAATGGCTACCCTTTTTTTAATATTGGCTCCTTGAACTCATTATCTTTTAGGAATGTTAATCTTGTTGGAGTCCCTTTCATTAGTTCAACATGAATCACTAGCATCTTTCCCTTATTAGTGGAAAATTAATGCTCTTTTGTATCCTCACTTTTAATGTTTTCTGTCACTGTCTATTTCTTCAACTGTTCCTTGTTTAATGAAGGAGATCACCCTTCTGTTTGGGTATTCGGATGTAAAATGCTCAAAGTCGTGGTACTTGAGACACTTCTTTATTGGGAGGGATTTGAGAGTTCTGGAAATATCCACTTTTTTCTACACTCTGAACTAGTTTTTTCTTAATTAGATTCAATTGGGATGCTCCACTGGATGTGCTCTTGCCATTGTTTTAAAAGGTGAAATCGAGAATTGAGGCTTTTTTCTTTGTGAGGCAAGGCATAAGCCTCAAAAAAAATAAAATAAAATAAGAATTCATAAAATTAAATATAATTCATAAACATGATATTTGATAACCCATAAATCTTGATCATTAAACTTAGAATTTAAATATGTTAATAGACTTCAATACTTCACTTAATAACACATGCATATAATATTACCAAATCTCAAATATAAAACAAAAACTTGAAATAAGATTTGAACATTAAACTTAAAATTTAAATACATACCCAATTATTATTAATTTTTATATCTAACACCCCACACTTTAATAAAAATTGGGTGGTATGTTTGTAAATGTATAAAGAAAGTACATATACTTATGACAGACATTTAAATACATACCACCAAATTATTTTAGGCTCTGGATACAGAAGGCTCGGTACAGAAGTCTTTGTAAATGTTGGACTTCTACAGTAGAGGAGATGCAGAAGACGACTCGGAATGCAGAAGATGTAGAAGTTTTGATTGAACTTCGACTCTCAGGAAGCAAAAAAGTTTAGAACGACGAAAACTCAGAAGCCTTCAAAGCTCGAGACAACGCTGGACTTCGATGATCAGACAGTTCTTCGACGCAGGCGCACGTGAAGGCTCGGGATGAAGCATGATGAAGAAACAAAGCTTCAGAATGACACTTATGGTTGCCATGTCTAATTTAAA